TGGGTTGTTGTCAGGCTCCATAGCTAAAACATCAAGTACAAAATCAATGAATTTAGATTTTTTTTTTAATCAGAAAATCTTCCTCAAGCACTCAGGATTTAAATACATATTACCTTCCTGATCTCTAAGTCTGTCTTTGATTTGTCAGTATGGAAGTATTTTAATAGTATTTAACTATTTCTACTTAAGAACTGATTTCATAGCTTGTGATCTTTTCCTGCCATTAGATTCAGATTTTTCATATATTTTTTCCTTCTTAGTCTACAGGATTATATTTTCATTAATTCATATTCGATTTATCCTAGGTTACCTTGGGCATATGTTTCTTTTCCTCATCTTCCTCAAAGAAAGTAGAAATTTGAGAAAATAAGTTTTGGAGAATTTAACAACTGAGGATTATTCTTGTTAGCAAAAACTAACTTGAAATGAGGATCCTTGATGCAATTATGATGATTATATCTATCAATTTTCATGAACATGTCTTTAGAGAGAGAATAAATCAATTTCAATTTGTATTCTATTTATATGCCTTTCCTTGTGTCTGTCTCAAGGTATTTACCATTCATTTTATGCACATAATACTCCTGTGAAACTCATGGCCCAAAAACATTAATTAACTTAATTTGCAAGTGGGTAAACTACAGCCTAAAGTGGTTGAGTTGCTTTAGCCATCTGGACAAGTCTAGGGAAGTTGGTAACTGCCAAACAAGGCCTGTTTAATTATGTCCCAGAATTGAATTTTTCTGAAAAAGAGAAATCTTCTTTTGTGCTAGTATGTCCCCAGTGAAACCCTTAAGTTTGTTGTTGTTTCCTTTTTCCCTAGCTAGATTCTTCATTTATTTACATGAAAAATGTTTGGAACTTTATGCCCCACCCAGATCCTTCTCTTCAATGCTAATTAATATCCTTGTTTACTTTGTGTATGTGTATATGAACACACGCATGCACACACACACACAGGGGTGTGTTTCATCCTTGGCAGGTTCCTTTTCAAGTTATTGTCTTAATTTTTGCCTCCTAGCATTCATTTTTGGCCATATACTTAGTACTTAACTATTTTTTTTAAAGATTTTATTTATCTATTTGAGAGGGAGTGAGTGGGAAAAGGGAGAAACAGACTCCCCACTGAGCAGGGAGCCCAACACGGGCTTGATCTGGGAACCCTAAGATTATGACCCTAGCTGAAGGCAGACACTTAACCGACTGCACCACCCAGACGCCTCAGTATCTATTTTTTATGCTGATCGTATAAGACTGCATTCAGTAGATTCTTTGCTATTATCTTTTGATTTATTCTGTTGTACTGCCACATTTGATTTTCTTATATATCTTCATAAATGTATTTTTTAAACCCTCTTCATGTCTGGATTTATGTACTCCCTAACAAAGTACTGAGCCCTCCTAGGTACATCTTGACTCCTTTCTTTTCCCTATGTCCCTAGAGTCACTGGACCACAATATGGCTTCTATAATTTTATTCTGATCATATCAACATGCTGCTTAAAATCTTCTAATGGCTCACCCTCAGAATAAAATGTGATCTCCTTTGCTTGGTATACCATTCCCTTCCTGATCTGGCATCTATCTACTTCATGATCCTCATGTAAATCCTTCCTATCCTGGGCTCTAGTCATACTAAAATACTCACTATCCTCTGCCTCTGCACATGGTGTTCTGTTAACCAGGAACATCTTTCCTTATCCTATATCTAAACTAACAAGTCACCCCTCTCCCTCCTTAGAGTCTGAGTTCTTTCATGGTAGAGCCAAGTGTTTTGTTTTCTCTATCTGTAGAGGCTGGCAGAGTGCCAGATACATAGTGTGAGCTTAATACATGTTTGTGTGATTTGTTTGTGTAATTAATAGCTGCATGGCTTGGAATTCACCATCAATAGAAAATATCTTATGATGACTACTATTCATGAGGTTTTCATAAGATCCTGGAGTGTTTAAACCAAATAGGACGTGGTTGGGACATCAAGGGTGTCTGCATTTAGTAGAAGGGATTGGAAGTTCGGTGAAGGAACAAGATGATCAAACTTGGAGAAGCTCTATGGAGTTCAGTAGTTTTAAAGGAACATCGGCAGAAAAAAAGGTCTAAGAAATAATTTTGTTTTCTATCAATTTAACTCTTTCATCATATTTGTCATGTATTTTATGAGCTAAAGAGCTAAAAAATTTGGACATGTACTATAATCTTAATGTTTTGAGTTGTCTAAGCACTAGTAATGCTATACGAAAAAAGATTTAGTTTTGTGTTATTTTTCATTTGGCTACTAAATACAAAAATATCTTAACTCACTGCCCTTCCTCCCCCTGAGCCTTGTAAGACACAGAGCAGACACTGAAAGGGCAAGAGGGAGGCTGAGGCCAAGGAGTAACAATTGTCAGGATGGCTAACTGGCTCAGTGAGTAGAACATATGACTCTTGATCTTTGGGTCGTGAGTTCAAGCCCCATGTTGGGTTAGAGATTACTAAATAAATAAATAAATAAATAAATAAATAATTTTTTTCCTGTAACTTTATGCACATATCTATGGAAACCACTGATAATCTGTGCTCTTCGGTGTATTCCACTATTGATAGCTGAATACTTAATTTTTTTTTTTTTTAAATTAGGGGCTGGATGATACAAAACTATGATTACAAAGAGACTTGTTCCTCCATGGTTCAGAGTATTGCTAGTATTAGCTCTCCTTTTGTCCTGTCCAGGGCATTCTAGAATGGGAGTTCTGGCATTCACCCAGGGCCATAGCAGCAGATTTTGCTTTAGAGGTTCATGCTTCTGAGAACAATCAAATAAACACTAGGGCAACTGGGAATCAGAGTTTAGGAAATACAGTTTTTTTTTTTTTTTAATTTTTATTTATTTACGATAGTCACACAGAGACAGAGCTAGAGAGAGAGGCAGAGACATAGGCAGAGGGAGAAGCAGGCTCCATGCACCGGGAGCCCGACGTGGGATTCGATCCCGGGTCTCCAGGATCGCGCCCTGGGCTAAAGGCAGGCGCCAAACCGCTGCGCCACCCAGGGATCCCAGGAAATACAGTTTTTTAAGAATAGGTGCATCATCAAGTGAAATTCAATTTATGTTCTATGTTTATAAGTATGTGCCATATTATTAATAAACTTATTTTTCATGCATGTTTACTGTTTGTATCTTATGTATTTGCTAGTTAGTATTGTACTTGAAATTTAAGTGACTATGTGTTATTACAATAAATCAATACATTTATGTATAAAACAATCATATGAATAACAGCCTCAAGTATTTTAAGTATTGAAATATTTTCAAATACTTCAATTAATTTTTCTCCTTTTCCAGAAATCTTTTCAAAATTTCAGAAAATCTGCACAGATTCCTGGAAACATCCAACTGTTACTGAGATGCCAGGATTCATAGTAACTTCGTAACTCTGCTTTAGCTTCTTCTTGGGTGACTAGAATGGTAAGAATATTTAATGAGTTAGCAGGAATAAGTAATGCCTCTGTGACTAAGAAATTAATGGAATTCCAGCATTTATTATTATACCAGATACTAAATATGACAGATAATAACAGTAAAAGTTCCAAACTTCTTTTATTTTTAGCACTTTCTTTAGCTATTGACCAATAATTTCTTGAAAAAACAAACAAAACAAAAAATAAAGGGGCGCCTGGGTGGCTTAGTGAGTTAAGTGTCCAACTCTTGATTGTCCGACTCAAGTCATGATTTTGGGATTTTGAGATTGAGCTCTGAGTCAGCTCTAAGCTGGGTGTGGGGGCTGCTTAAGATTCTCTCTCTCTCCCTCTGACTCCCTCCCCCACTCCAAAATTAAAATTGACTGCATGGCAAATTCCTTCTTTTAAGTAGGGGAATGACAAAAAGTACTTTCGATGAATTCCCACCCCCCCTTTTAAAAGATTTTATTTATTTATGAGAGATACAGAGAGAGACGCAAAGACACATACAGAGGGGGAAGCAGGCTCCCTTCAGGGAGCCTGATGCAGGACTGGATCCTAGGACTCCAGGATCATGCCCTGAGCCAAAGGCAGATGCTCAACCACTGAGCCACCAAGGTGCCCTGGTAAATCCCTTTAGAACACAGATTTCCAGGGGCACCTGAGTGGCTCATCAGTTAAGGGTCCAACTCTTGATTTTAGCTTAGGTCATGATCTTGGGGTCTTGAGATCAAACCCCATGTGGGGCTCTGTGCTCAGTGGGGGTCTGCTTAAGATTCTCTCTTTCTCTCCCCTCTGCCTATAAATAAAACTAAAAAAAACCCCTAAAACATAGATTTCCAAAAAGTTCCACAACTCCAAAATGTAGGTTAAAAAAAAAGTAATTTATATATAACACTAAATATGAGCTTACTAGAACTAGGTGTTAGGTGTTCTTTTGATGTTTCAGTGTACTTTTATTTATTTATAAAAGATTTTATTCATTCATTCATGAGAGACACACAGAGGCAGAGACATCGAGAGAGAGGCAGCCTCCCCACGGGGAGCCTGATGTGGGACTCGATCCTTTGACTCCAGGACTCTGGGATCACGACCTGAGCCTAAGGCAACCACTGAGCCACCCAGGTGCCCCTCATTGTATTCTTTTAAAAAAGTTTTGCTTTTCCTGATTTCAAAAGAAATCCATTCATTACAGAAAAAAACTGTAAAATACAGAAAAACATGGAAAAGAAAAAAAAATTATTAGTAACTGTTCCACCTAGACAAAATCTGTATTTATATTTTGGAGGCTATCTTTCTAGTTTTGCTTTTTCCTAACTGTGATTATTTTTTATTTTAATCCTTGTTCTAGCCTCTTCACATAAAGCTGGATACAAGGAATCTTACAGGATAGAGATCGAATGGGATACAATGTAGCTTACTTTCCCCTATATCCTTCTCTCATGATAGAAACACCTTTTAATCCTTTTTGTTATATTTCGAATTGGTACACAGAGTTAGTGACTAAAGAGAGACATATTTATGTTTTTAAAAAGATAAACAGGGGGAAACCAAAAATATTCAGATAAATATTTTAATTAAATTATCACAGAAAAAGTTGTATATAGACACAACTATGTGTCTATACACAACTATGTATATGTACATATACATATACACAACTATGTATATGTACATATACATCTTTACAAATATGTAAACATATATATAAGTCTAGAAAGAAATATACAGAAGTAGGTGTCCAGGTATTGGGGTGATGTTTCTTTTTTATTAATTTGTAATATATTCAACAAAACATTATGCTGAGGTAGGACTATTTTATGTTATAGAATCTTATACAAATGAATTTGTTCAAGAGCTTCTCTGTCAATATGCTCTTCTGGGTATACATCATAGTTCAGTGTTACCTCTTCAACCCAGGAAGATAATTGTATATTCATCTGAAAGAAAAAAGGTTATAAACAAACATGAAAACTGCAGAATGATTCTATTCTCTAAAGGTTCAAGAAATCATGATGAACTAAGTAACTGAACACAACAGATTTTTTTACAACAAGCAGGACTAAATTTATGTGGTTATTACATGAACGATTCTTTGTTGTACTACATGGTAGGTCTGTGGATTCAGGATTTAATTTATTTTGATTTTGGAATTTGAAAGAATAAAGAAAATACAGAACAGAGTAATTGTTTTAATGTAACTAATTTAATAATTATCATTAAACAATAAAAGATTAAAAAACAATGAGAGAGAGAAAAAAACAATGAGAATACACAGAGGACAGAGAAAACTATTCATAAACATACAGTGATGGTGCTAAGGGGTTAACTGGAGAGGGGCCCAAAAATATATATGTATTTATTTTAAAGTGGGCTTCACACCTAGCAGGGAGCCCAACACAAGGCTTGAACTCAAGACCACTGAGATCAAGACCTGAGCTAAGACAAAGAGTCAGATGCTTAACTGAGCCACCCACATGCCTCGTGGAGACCATATATTTTAAAAGGCATGCTTTTATAAGCATGGAAAAGTATAGTAGGATTATACCACCCATGAGATGGGTCTCTCCTCGAAAAGAATTAAGTGGAGGGAATGGGGAAATTTTTCTTTTTTTTTTTTTTTAAACATTTTATTTATTTATTCATAGAGACACAGGCAGAGGGAGAAGCAGGCTCCACGCAGGGAGCCCGACGCGGGATTTGACTGAAGGCGACGCTAAACCCGCTGAGCCACCAGGGCTGCCCGAAATTTTTCTTTATATATCTTTTCTTTATATATCTCAGGATTATTTCCCTTGTTAGTTCAAACATGAATTACTTCTGTAATTTAGATGAGTGACAAATATTTCTTAAGGAAGTGTTACTGATGATGGTTTAGTTTTCTTTTTTAAAAGGAAGATATAGATGCTTAAATTTGGCAGTGTTTTTAGGTAAGAAAAGCACCACTAAAGAAAACTACAATAATACTCCATTATTAAGAAATACAACAGTATCTTTCATCTAGGGGTCTCTAAGAACTTTATAAATACCCTTTACATAAGGTCAACTGATTGGGCTGAAACTTATTAAATATGAGCCTTACTTTTTTTTTTAATTTTTTATTTATTTATGATAGTCACACATACAGAGAGAGAGAGAGGCAGAGATATAGGCAGAGGGAGAAGCAGGCTCCATGCACCGGGAGCCTGATGTGGGATTCGATCCCGGGTCTCCAGGATCGTGCCCTGGGCCAAAAGCAGGCGCTAAACCGCTGTGCCACCCAGGGATCCCGAGCCTTACTTTATATGGAGAATCTAAGGAACAAAGAAGCAGTTTGTATAAGATCCCAAACCGCATAGTACATGGGCTTCCAGTCTACACATCTGATTCTAGAAGCCTTGAGCAACTGTATTCCTTTTTTTCTAATGGGAAAGTTATGATGTGGGTGTTCTAAGCCTCTTACAAACATTTAATAGCATTTGTTAACCTAAAACTGTAACCCTCAGGTGGAAAAACTGGGTAGAGAAGCCAAGAAATCTATATCAAGATAAGAATTACAATTTCAGAGCTCTTGAGGCCAATGAACAAGCCACAAACCAGGTCTTAGGCTTCGTTACTGAATCATCTGCCACTAGATTCAGACAGAATGTCTCTAGAATATCCAAACAGCTATCAGGAAAAAAGGAGGATAATAGTTTTGACAGTAAAAGTGCTGGGAAAGACGCTTACATACCTGCAGGCGTGAAAGAGAATCTTCAAGACTTGGTACTGTTACTAATAACGATCCTTGTTTCCTTACATTATGGCTGATACATTCCCAGGCTCTGCAACATATTAAAGACTTATATTTTAGGTTTTACCAGACACTAAAACACTTTTTAAACAATGAAAATGACAAGAGAATATGTAGCACAGGCAATACCTACAAATCCAGATGGGCAAAATGTCTGCAGGTAATAGGACTGCAGCAAAATACTAGAAATTGGTAAATTCTTCAGTTCCTGAAGGGGGTGTTGGCAAAATTGTGATGTTACAACACTGAAGAGATTTAACAAGATGGGGATTTGTGTTAATAGCAGGTATTAAGGCTAAAGCTCAGTTTTCAAAACCAACATACAAGTCAAAGCTGGATCAGCAATTAAAGCCCCTTAAACTCTTCTGGGGTTTTTTTGAGGGGTGAAGGGGAGAGGGAGAGAGAGAGAGTGTGTGCGCAAGCATGGTTGAGGAGAGAATCCCAAACAGGTTCTAAGCCCAGTGTAGAGCCCGCACAGAGCTTGATTCCACAACCCTGAGATCATGATCTGAGTGGAAATCAAGAGTTGAAAGCTTAACTGATTGAGCCATCCAGGCGGCCCTTAAAGCCACTAAACTCTTGATGAAATATGTCAAAGCTGGTTCTGCAGAACGGAGAAGGGCTGAGAGGTAGAAGTGGGGAAAAGTCATGCAGAAAGGCCATAGAAACCAGAAACCAAGTAAAGACTAACAATACAGCATAATATGTAGATTACATCTTTTAAAATAACATCAAGACTGAAACTATACTTTATTTGGTGGTCAAAAATATTTAATGGAAAGACTTTTGGACAATATGGCACCTGCGAAGTTGAGTGGGCCAGCCAGGTTGAAAGCACGATGAAATGCCATGTGCATATGTATGTGCCATAGGGCAATGCCTGACCGGTTCTGACTAACTTCAGTGCAGACATGAACTGGATTTCTGTATCGTGCATGAGTGCTGACAGTATACCCCACTACTGGGAAGCAGTGGGTAAGCAAAGCAGAGATGTGCATCCCTTGCAATGGGCAGGTGGGCAATGGTGTCATTTGCATTTATTTTAGTTACAGCAATAGTTATTAGGTTTAGTATTCTGGAGTTTATTAGGCAAAATGATACAAATGTTCTTTTTCCCAGGCTATATCTAAAATAATGTAGCAGTGCTTGATAACAGCCACTGTGCTTAGGCTAGAGTTATTGTTTTGATGTGGTTCCTTAAAAATGACATTTTATAAGCTTATTTAATAAGAATGAAGAAGTTAATTAAATCGGCATGACTGGTCATGACTCTCAAAATAGTATTTGCTGTTTCTGGTAAGTTGTCATTGGAGTAGTATCTGCTTCACCTACTCAAAAAAATGCATTGAGGCACCTTTTAAACTAACAATTACTCTACAAATCTGGGATGTTATTCTGTAATGAGACTGAATTTATTCTGAAGCCTGAGCCTTTCCTGAGTACACATTTTCTATTATTACAAAATATTTGTTTTCTCATATATATTAACTCCTATAGCAATATCATTCAATTTGTCCCAGATTCTAATTAAGACAAGTCCTTAGAGGCTATATGTAGCACCATTTTTCTTTGTCACTCAGTACAATACAGAATTAACATAGGTAAATGATCATTTTGACAGAACAATCCCAATATCAGAATGATTTACTGTCTTCAAAACATTCTCCTAAATATTGTCATTCATGACTAGAACCTATATTTTGAACGCACTGCACTAGATTTAGGAGAAATGACTGAACAAACACATGCGGCCAATACTATTTGCTGAACAATGTAGAGAGTGTGAATGAATGTACCAAGAAAGCTTTTAAAACAACCCAAACATTCAGTATTTCCAATGTCAAGTTCACCAGTGGCTTTCATCATTCTTTGGCAGTCAAAATCTTTCTGTAATGAATCTCCAAAGACTTTACGGTGTTTTTTTCTTTTACCTTCTTAAACAACAGAAACCTGGTAATACTTCATTCTCCAACAATTATGTAATGTTTTGGCTACTGGTCATTAGCTTAAAAAGGTGAAAAGTAAATAGCACTCTGTCCACTGGAAATTAAGTTTAAAGAGGGCTATGATTAAAACAATTTTGCAAAATAAAACAAAACAAAACAATTTTGCTCATGTTCTGTTTCTGTTCTTCACTCTGTGACCAAAAATTGTCACACATCCTGGCTGAACTTTGTTTTTTTTTTTTTTTAAAGATTTTATTTATTTATCATGACAGACACAGAGAGAGGGAGAGAGAGAGGCAGAGACATAGGCAGAGGGAGAAGCAGGCTCCATGCAGGGAGCCGATGTGGGACTCGATCCTGGGTTTCCAGGATCCGGCCCTGGGCGGAAGGCAGCGCTAAACCGCTGAGCCACCCGGGCTGCCCCTGGCTGAACTTTGATTATGAGATTAGTTTTCACTGAATTAGTTTCTTTTTAAAATATTTGTTAATTTCATGATGACCTTCACCTACTAGTAATGGGTATGTGCATGCGTGTGTGTGTGTGTGTGTGTGTGTGTGTGTGTATGCATGTGTGACAGAAAATTGGGGGAAGGGCAGAATAAAGAAGATAAAAGGGTAGCAGGATAAAGAGGGTTAGCCATTCAGGATTCTACTCTGTATTAACTATATGGTCTTTACAGCCTGTAGTTATATGATCTTTTTATTTCTCTGTAGTACAAACCTTACTGATGCACTGATCCAAACATCTGTGTAATTCCCTTTCACATACATGGGAAGGAGTTTTCTTGCATCTAGAGTACACATATGCCATTATGAAAAAAAACAGTCAGCAATCCTAACTAGCTAGAAAATCAATGTGTCAGATTATAGACCACAGTGATTTTCTAATTAGAGGAACCTACTGGCTCTGAGGGTCACAAAGCAACAAATTGTGGCAGAGAAGTCAAAATACTGATCACAGATAAGCTAATTTTTCCATTCCCTGAATAGTGGAATATTTTTAGGAACCTACTATTACCACCTTAATATTTTTAAAGTTTGATAACTACTCACTCTTTTGGTTAATATTCTTATATCACTTACAGAAATTAATTCCCATGATTTTGTGATAGGATAGTACGTGACTTGTTTTTTTTTTTTTTTTTTTTTTTTTTTACGACTTGTTTTTCAAACAAAATAAAACAGAGACAGAAAAGAGTAAGTATAAACGCCCATTGGGAATGGTTATCTTATTGCATCCCTGACGGCTAAGCAAATGCCTGGGTCATATCATTTAATATATGCCACCCCATTTGGTGTAATATTTTACAAAGCTGGACAATATTTTTGTTTTATACATAACATATTTCAAGATTAACATAATCTTGTTGAGATTGTTTTATTATTTTTTTTTTTTGAGATTGTTTTAAAAAACAGTTTACTATGAAAATATTTCTACTTTACCATCCCTTAAAAAAAAAGATATCTATTTAAGTAATCTTTACATTCATGTGGGGCTTGAATTCACAACCCCCAAAATCATGCTCTACTGATTGAGCCAGCCAGCCACCCCACTAATTCCTTTTTATACTTTGCTGATCATATTTTAACAGATTTCTTCCTTGAATAAATAACATACCTGGCCTGTTCTGCTTCATCAAGAAAATATTCGAAGACATTATTCATTATAATAACATCAGCATTTTGCAGAAGTGAACCCTGGGTACAGATGTCTGCATGAAGCACCTAAAGAAGAATGGGTTCATTTTAAGAAAACAAAGATAACCACAGAAGAAATATCTATTGGTTCAATGATACTGTGAGGCAATATGAGAAGTTAACCCTACTTAAAATTGGGAGAAGGAACAGTGTATTTAATAGTATTATCTATGGGAGATACCTTTTTTTAATGTAGACTTAAAAAAATTTTTATTTATTTACTCACAAGAGACAGAGGGAGGCAGAGGGAAAAGCAGGGAGCCTGATGCGGGACTCAAACCCAGGACCCAGGATCATGAGCCAAAGGTAGATGCTTAACCGACTGAGCCACCCAGGTATCCCTCTATGAGAGATATTCAATATCTAATTAAAAACCATAAACTTGTGAAAGTTTTAGATAGATTTATGTACATAGACATATAATTATGGTCTTTCAATTCCGACTTCAGAGCTTCTTCCTCTATGACTGTATCATTAATTTTAAGAGTCAAAGGCCCTAGGTTCGGACTCTTGCTCCATCATCAACTAAATCTGTATGCTTAGGCAGTCAGTGTCCTCATAAATAAAATGGAATAATATCTGTACTGATCCACAGAATCAACTGGGATCATATAAAAACTATAAAAGTAATTTATATACTATAAAGTGTTAATACAATATGTTTATTGGCTTTGTCTGACTTTTCATCTAAAATTTATTTGAGGGATCCCTGGGTGGCGCAGTGGTTTGGCGCATGCCTTTGGCCCAGGGCGCGATCCTGGAGACCCGGGATCGAATCCCACGTCGGGCTCCCGGTGCATGGAGCCTGCTTCTCCCTCTGCCTCTCTCTCTCTCTCTCTCTGTGACTATCATAAAAAAAAATTATTTGATTATTTATCCAAAAAAGCAAACAAAACAATTTATTTAAAAAATATATGCCTCACACCCAAAACAACAAAACACCTAGGAATAAACTTAACCAAAGAGGTGAAAAACCTGTACTCTCAAAACTACAAAACACTGATGAAAGAAATTGAAGATGACACAAAGAAACAGACATTTTATGCTCATGGATTAGAATAACAAATATTGTAAAAATGTCTACATTATCTAAAGCAATTTACAGATTTAATGCAATCTCTATTAAGATACCAACAGAATTTTTCACAGAACTAGATAAACAATCCTAAAATTTGTATGTAACCACAGAAGACCCCAAATGGACAAATCTTTAAAAACTGGTCCGCTACATCCAAAAGAATGAAACCTGACCTCTTTCTTATACTGTACACAGAAATACTCAAAATGGAGTAAAGACCTAAATGTAAGACCTGAAACCATAAAAATCCTAGGAGAGCACAGGCAATAATTTCTCTGACATTGGCCATTACAACATCTTTCTAGATATGTCTCCTGAGGTAAGGGAAACAAAAGCAAAAATAAACTACTGGGATTGTATCAAAACAAAAAGTTTCTGCATAGCAAAGGAAACAATCAGTCAAACTAAAAGACAACCTCCTGAATGGGAGATATTTACAAATGACATATCTGATAAAGGGTTAGAACTTGCAAAGCTCAACACCAAAAAAAAAAAAAAAAACAAATAATCCAATTAAAAATTGGGCAGAAGACATGAACAGACATTTCTCTAAGAAGACATACAGATGGCCAACAGACACATGAAAAGATGCTTAACATCACACATCATCAGAGAAATGCAAATCAAAACTACAATGATATCACCTCACACCTGTCAGAATGGCTAAAAACAAAAACAAAAGAAACAAGTGTTGGTGAGGATGTAGAGAAAAAAGGAACCCTCACGCACTGCTGATGGGGGTGCAAATGGTGCAGCCACTGTGTTAGACAATATGGAGGTTTCTCAAAAAGCTAAAAATAAACTACCCTATGATCCAGCAATTGTACTATTGGTTATTTACCCCCAAATACACTAATTCCAAGGGATATATGCACCCCTGTGTTACTGCAGCATTATTTACAATAGCCAAATTATGGAAGCAGTCCAAGTGTCCTTCAACAAATGAATGGATAAAGATGGTGTGTGTGTGTGTGTGTGTGTGTGTATAATGGAATATTATTCAGCCATAAAAAAGAATGAAATCTTGCCATTTGCAAGGATGAGGTTAGAGCTAGAGAGTATAATGCAAAGTGAAATAAACCAATTAGAGAAAGACAAATAACATATGATTTCATTCATATGTGGAATTTGAAAAATAAAACAAACATGTACAGGAGAGAAACAAACAAACAAAAAAGTAGAGAGAGACAAACCAAGGAATAGACTCTTAACTATAGAGAACAAACTGATGGCTACCAGAGGGGAGGTGGGTGGGAGATGGGTGAAATAGGTGATGGGGATTAAAGAGTACACTTATGATGAGCACTGAGTAATATACAGAATTGTTGAATCACTATATTGTACACCTGAAACTAATATAACACTATATATTAATTAAAATTAAAAACTTAATAATAAAAATTAAGACTATATACCTCAAAAAATTAACTTGTCTACAATCAACAAGTCTTAGAGTCCAGGCAAGATAATAAGAGAAAACATCTATTTTCTCAAGTGCAAAAGAAACCACTTTTATTTTAAAAGGAAGAGAAAAAGTTTAACTATTTTGTATTTTTTTTTAATTTTTTTTATTGGAGTTCAATTTGCCAACATATAGCATAACACCCAGTGCTCATCCTACCAAGTGCCCCCCTCAGTGCCCATCACCCAGTCACCCCAACCCCCCGCCCACTTCCCCTTCCGCTACCCCTTGTTAATTTCCCAGAGTTAGGTGTCTCTCATGTACTATTTTGTATTAAATGATTTCTTTGGTCTTACAAATAAATAGCATTCAGAATGTTGTGGGGTCTGACTCTTAACACATTTTCTTTTTTAAGTAGTAAAAATACTAAGATAATTTAAATTAGGTGGGCCTCTAGTCTCTGAAACACACCTTGGACATGTTCTTGAACACACAGAAAACAGTTAATCACTTTAAACTTTCTAAACATGTTGCTGAGATATGAAATAGGCATGCAAATTAACCTACTGATATATCACAGTTTCCTCTTTTTCCTTCCCATCTCTGTTCCTCTCTCACACTCCACCACACAAGGTAAAAAATAATCTGGCAGATCAATTCATTATGGCAACCAACAGAGTGCCCAAGGAAACCCCCCAAAATGGCTCTGGACAAGCTGGAATGCTAACAACGCAAAGGTCACAAAGCCACTAAAATCAATTTAATCAATTTTCATGGGCACCTCCTATATATAAGATACTGTTTGGGGAGATACACCATGACCAATGAGATATAACATCTACACTCAAAAATGTTATATTCTACTAATAGGATGAAACAGCTATGTTGGTAACTCTAAGTGCCATTCAAGGAATAAGTAAGATATGAATAAAGGAAAATTCACCTTTAGCATAGAGAAGATGGTGGAAAGAATTTAAATCAATGGGTCTTTCAATGTAAGGTAGTGCATAAGACACATGGCATGTACTCTTATTTCCTGAAACCCCATTATAATAACAATATAGGGTTTTTAGAAGAAAAGATATATACCCACAAGGATGGGAGGAATGGGAAATGAAATAACAGAGATGAAATTTTGAAAGTTAAGAAAACAAGAGGAATTAATAAGGAATTTAGGAGACCAGAAAAATCTGATTTCTAAGCTAGACAGATAGAAAGCAAAGACCCAGACTTGATTTATACTACAGAATCTCAAAAAAGGCTCACAATTGATGGTACTAGGTATCTCTGGGTGAGGGAGTAGGGAGAAATGCTAAAAATAAGGTAATTTGGTTCAAAGTCAGTTTTAAAAGCACCCAGACCCTTATACAACTTTCACATCTCCCAGCAAAAGAATAGAGACTGATTCTCTGGAAAGGGTAAAACAAAAGGTCTCTGGGTCAGGGACACCAGGATAAGTTGAAAGAAAGGCTAATGTACTGTAAACAAGGGAAGTAAGGCAGACAGGATGCTGTGAATCCCTAACATTTCACTTCTTTTACTCTACCACTCTGTCCCCAGGATGTTGCTTGCCATAGCCCAAGAGGAAAGATCTTAAGATATGTCATCAGATATTCCCCAACTAATTAATGACCCAAACGAGATCACTTGACAGTGAAGCCCACAGTGCTCAGAATCCTCACTTAAGTGCTGAGAACTTCAATCAGCTTTTTTTTTTCTCTCACTCTCTAAGTATGAGCAGACAACCAAGGACTCCTAGACTTCTGAGCGAAGTCCTGCTAAAACAAAGACCAAAAAGAACAAAAAACAAAAAGCAGAGCCCAAGACTTAAAGGCTGAAGCGTTTCACCAGATAATATAAAAAATAACCCTGGAATTCCTTTCTGTTGCTCTTAAGGCCTCTCAAACACAACAACTGTCTCTCCCATTGCGGAAGGAAACTGTTAAGGTTGCCAAAAAAAAATGGTATAAAAACAGCTTTCTGTCATTGGGTTACTAATTGCCACCAAAGCCACAAGCCTTGAAAGTATGTGGGGTGGGCATTCATCTATATACTCCTTTGAAAAGCAAGGGGTAAAAATCTTTTAATGTGTAAATAAATGTGTTTTATATACCTTTATCATCATCTTAAAAAATAACAATAAGTTACATGGTTCTCCCTTATTTATTAAAAGATTTATTTGAGAGAGAGAGAGAGAAAGAGAGGAGAGAGAGAGAGAATCCCAAGCAGACTCCCTGCTGAGCTCAGAGCCCCACACAAGGCTTGATCTCATGACCCCAAAATCATGATCTGAGCCAAAATCAAGAGTTTGATGCTCAACTGACTGAGCCACCTTGGCACTCCTTGGTTGTCCATTTATAAACTATGATTCTAAAGAGGTCAACTTTTAAACCTTAACTTCCAATTAAATTGATATTCTTAGTAGTTATGTGATTCTTATCATGCAAGAGTAACGTGTTCTTCTTCACTAAATATGCGACAGTGAGAAAAATCCATGGATTTATTAATGGACAATAAATTTGTTTCAATCATTTGCCTTTTTCTTTTTTTTTTTTTTTTAAAGATTTTATTTATTTATTCATGAGAGACACAGAGAGAGAGGCAGAGACACAGGCAGAGGAAGAAGCAGGCTCCATGCAGGGAATCTGATGTGTGACTTGATCCCAGGTCTCCAGGATCACTCCCTGGGCTGAAGGCAGGCGTTAAACTGCTGAGCCACCCGGCTGCCCTCATTTGCCTATTTCTGAGATGAGAGATATATGCAAAGAGAAAAAAGGAAGTCTGGAAGGAGGAAGAAAAAGTTTCCTTCAATAAATAAGGGGAGGACTAGATATTTAATTCTACCGAGATGTCTTTCAACATCTTAACACCAGAGAGCCTTAGATGCTCAATATTTCTCTGCATTGCCATTAGAAGTGTAGGATCCTCAGTGGAAGGATAAAAATGAGCACATTAACCAAGAAATGTTCTTTCCCATTCTTGGTTATTTTCCCCCTTACATGTAGAAAAAGAGAAAAGTTTTGTGGTAGCCCAACCCAAGGCATCATTCCCCCTGAACTGCCATTCTGTGGCATCCACAACTCCTCCTGGAAGCTTAGAAAAAGGATAAAGAACTGAAAGCATTACTTAACCTTTTTGATTACTTTCAACATAAGAGTTTAATTAAGTACATTTATGACCTACATCTAGAGATTCAAAAATGCTGCTACCAAAACTAAACTACAGCAGAGATGAAAGAAATTAAGAAAAATTCTACTTTCTAGTAAAATTGGGGAGGAAGTAAAACAGCAGTGGAAAATAATTATAATTAAATTCACATTTATTCATGTTTTAAAATACTAAGTCAACTTGATCTGTTTCTGCACAAACAGCAACCAGGAATAGATTCAAAAAGATTTTCCAACTCCAATCCAGAAGAAACTTAGCTAAATTATGCAATAAAATAGATAAGAGAATATATATTTAAAAGGGTATCTTTACTACAGCATAGGGAACATAGTCAATGGTATTGTCATAGCACTGTATGGTGACAGATGGGAGCTACACTTGTGGTGAATAAGCACTGTGTAAGGTATAGACTTGTCAAATCACCATGTTGTGTACCTGAAACTAATTAAACACTGTGTGTCAACTGTACTTCATTAGTAAAAAAATACATAAATAAAAGGGTACCTTTACTCTGTCAGTAAACTGGTATTTTTTTATGACCATTTCCTGCAATTGGCAAAAGTCTCCATTCAATTCTACTCCATATAGCTGCAGTGCTGAACTGTAAAGATAACCCTGAAAGAATGAAGACCTGTTATGATGCAAATGAATGAACTGTGAATTTATGTCTATATAAAATGTAAAAAATCAAACTTTAAAAAACAACTCAATAAAGTGAAAATAAAATGAAAGATAAATAATAATGTGTAATGTATGTAACTCTTAAAACTTCAAGAACTTAGACTCTTACTGATCAAGACCTTGAATGTAGTTTATTAATTTCCATTATTTAAAAGTAATTATAGTTTGAAAGATTGATTTCTCACTTCTGACAAAATGGTACATTCAACCAAGTTGGAAATGAGAAAAGTGACCACATATAGAGTCTCTGTTTAATACCCTATTTCTATAATTTCTTGGAAAGTTACAGCAGGGGAAAGCAAGAAAGGAGTTAACCTGGGGGGGGGGGAATATAATGGAAAATCATTCAGAGTCTGACACTAGAGGAAGGTGGCTGGAGATGTGTCTTGTTGGCTTAGGGAAGTCAGTCTGGCGTCTGCATTCTGCCAAATGTAACTGACCAATTAGCTAACAAGGATAATCAAGAACTGACTAGATATTATTATGTATCCATTTTTGGTGGTGATCACAAAAAAATAATATGAAAGGAAAGGTCAAATCATATTCTGAATATCACTTTACATTAACGTCCATGTATGAACCAAATTTGTGTTTATAGCTAATGATAGATTTTTAGGATATGTTCAATGGAGCATATGCAGGTATTCAAAAATTTTCTGTCAGCTGAATCAGTAACCACTTTAATACAGAGAAAAATAAGAGTATTTTTAAACTTATTAATGCTGCCACATACTTGCACAGCCACATTTTTTTCAGCTATATACTTTTCTGACAAATCAAAAAATGGACAAGAGTGGAGCAAATATGGTATACAATCGTAATCTCTACTGTTCTCTAAAAACAACCATTTGACAAACTGTATATCCTATTATGGATATCTTTCTTAATCATAGAATAAAAGCCTTACTACCGGAAAATAAACTAAGCACTAAATAGTTAACTGTTGCCGTTTAGAGCAGGCAATGGATGCTGGGAACTGATAGTGCCTGTTTCTGGCATGAGTCTCTACTGCTGTTGGCCATATGTTTTAACAAGTCTGCTAATAACAACCAGAAACCACATTTAAGTTTTTTGATAAAATCAGTTAAGAGCATTAGAAATACTCATGATTTGAATTTTTAAAAAAGCCACATTGAAGTGATATTTCAGACACAAATGTCCACAAAGTTGAATCACAGAAAATTGGAGCAAGATGTGTCCTCGGATATCATTTAGTTAGCTTACTTACGGGTGAAGAACTTGAAGCCAGGGGTGTTAAGTGACTTTGTTATGGCCACATGCAATTTCGTAAGTAAGTTTTATAAAAGCTTTAAAAATTTTTTTTTAAATAAAAGCTTCTATAAAAGCTCTTATCAAGGCTCAGTACACTATTTTAGCACAGTATAAAGAAAATGAAATTAGGAGGTCAAAAACAAAGTGTTATGAAGGTCACCTGCTTCTGCTTTGTTGATACTCCTCTAGCTGTGTCATAGAGACTCAGAAAAGGAAATCAGAGAGCTGGCCTTTGAAATTCCAAGTTCAATATAATATTTTAACCTTATTTATTCTGTTACTCTAATAAATAAAGCCAAGCTGTCACCTTGGATGGTGACAGGCCAAACTGTTGCTAGCAGCAGGAGGAGAAAGTATTTTCCCAATGTTGATTATGTCCACAAGCTGGACTTTACCCCATAAAGGACTGTGCCAAGCCTGGAGCCAACGTCAACCAAGACTTTTCCCGACAGATCAGGGAGTACATGATGATAAATGAACTTCAATTCCACGAGGGAGAAGGAATGAGAAATAAATCCTGGAGGATTAGAACAGAATAAATATCAAATTGTGCTTGGGTATTACACATTCTATTCTGTATTTCTAATTCTTTTATCTATATTTATAAAGCATATTTCATGTTTTTCTCTTCATCAATGAAAGCCATTCAGAAATTGTTTAGAAAAAATTTATGTGATAATCTTGCACTCATTCACCTGAGCTATATTAGAGAAAATAACAAGTCTCCGACATTTATTCATTTTTACTTTTTAAAGATTTATTTATTTACTTGAGAAAGAGAGTGAGAGCATGAGCGGGAGGGGCAGAAGGAGAGGGAGAGAATCCCAAGCAGACTCCACGCTGAGTGCAGAGCCTGATGCGAGCTCAGGGCTCACAAACCTGAGAGCATGACCTGGGCTGAAACCAAGAGTCACATGCCTAAACTGCTGTGCCAGGTGCCCCAAAGTCTCTGACATTTAAAAGGCCTCTAGGGAATAGCTGCCCAGCAACCTGTCCCTATCCCTGTGTCCGAAGGTCCTTGGTTAGTCTTTTATTTTCCCATTTTCCCCCCTATGATTGTTATTCTGTGCGATGCTTCCTAACTCCCGTGTCATCTGGCTTTCTCACCTTAGTCCAGAGCAACCACAGACTAACCCCATATTACTGCATACAATATAGACTACCAAATGAATGACCATCTCTGGAGTTGAGCAATGTGGCAGCCCTGACCAACCTAAGATATGTTCTGGAGTGCAGGGAAGGGTGTTATGAAAGGAAGTAAAGATACTCCCAGAAATTATTATTTCCCCTAGTTTAATTGCTACAATTTTTAAATTGCTACAGACTTCCTAGCCCATCTTCTCACTCCACTGTTTCTGTAATCAAGTATCTGGGAGAGCCTGCATGTACTTTTTAAAAACTTCCTATATTATGTCCCACGTAATATATTGGTCAGGAAGGGGAGAAACTTTGGCCATACCTAAACGATGATAGATGGTGGCAAAGAAAATGGAAGTAGGCAGGCTAATAATTCCTCGGAAGACAATAAAAGGTGTGACTGGGGGTGGGGGTGGGTTTTGACCACCATCGTACTGGTCTGCCTAGAATCTTCACCTTCACTACTCTGTCACTTTAGCACTTCTGCTTTGGGTTACAGAGTCATCATTAGTGTGTTATAGCTAGACAAGCCCCATGTCATATATTGGAAAGAAAGTCCCCCAGATGATAGTTTTTTTCAGATTTACTCTAGTTATATGGGCTGGCCTACATACCTAGTCACTATTTACAACATGATTTCTATGGGAAAATATATCCTAATCTTTAAAATCTTATTTGTCAAACATATATCTTTAAACTTGTATAAATCAGGGGAACCTAGGTGGCTCAGTTGGTTGAGCATCCAACTCTTGATTTTGGCTCAGGTCAGGATCACAGGGTTGTAGGACTGAGGCTCATGACAGGCTCCTAACTCAGAGGAGAGTCTGCTGGAGATTGTCTCTCTCCACTCCCCAAAATTAAATAAATAAATCTAAAAAAACCCCTATAAATTTGATATGATTCACTTTTTAGTTTTCCTTCTATGATTCTTGTCTAAGTCCTTTTCTATTCTGTGAATTTCAACCACCTCCAATGGAAACTATAAGTGCTATCTAAAAATAGAATAAAAAAAATAGAATCTTAAATAGATCAGGAAAGTTTAATTCCCAATTATAATGTAGATACAATATACTTGTACTAGCAGCATATTACAAATTTGGCAGTAGTTAAGTAATATGAACACAAGATTACTTACCTGGAGAGCAGGCCACTCTAAGCCATTAACTCTGCATCTAAGTGACCAGAAATCTTGAAATATAGCATGTCTAAAGTAATAGCCTAAGCAATCATATCCAATTTGAACTATATATATATATATATATAAAAATAAAAAGATTATATAAAAGATTTATAAAAGATTTTATATAAAGATTAAAAAAAAGATTTTATATAAAGATTATATAAAAGATTTTATATATATATATAAAAGATTTTAAAAGATTTATTTATTTGAGAGAGAGAGAGCATGCACATGTGTGAGTGGTAGGGAGGGCCAGAGAATCTCAAGTAGACTCCTTGCTGAGTGCAGAGCTTGATCCCACAATCCTGAGACCATGACCTGAGCTGAAATCAAGAGTCTGATGCTCAACCGACTGAGCCACCCAGGTGCCTCTTAAGAAAGAATACAGTAACAGAAGAGTTAACATATTAGCCACATGGGGTCAGTCTAGTTTCCCATTTTGGACACAGGTGCTCTATCTGAGGGAGAGAGATGCAGAAGACTTTTTGTCACTAGAGTTGTCCTCTGTTACGGACTGGAGATATTCTACTAGGTCAAATTATGGCCTGAATAAACTCTTCCTCAAGATCATCTCTGTTTTCTGAATCCATGCCTAATCAACAGTATCTGATTACTATCTGACTTCTCAGGTAGATGCTTTTATAGGGAGAACATTTCAGCCCCCTTGTAGTTACATTTCTGTTTGTGAATTAGCATTATGGTTTATCTATGAATCTCTTTGAAGTATGGAAAGTATAAGTTGGTTTCCTGGTTCTCAGTCACTTGTGATTAGTTTCTGGACCTGCAAACTCACCTCTGATTAAACAGTTTCTGTGAGAAGAAACTGCTGGGACCCCTGGGCGGCTTAGTGGTTGAGTGTCTTTGGCTCATGTATGATCACTGGGTCCTGGGATCGAGTCCTGCATCAGGCTCCCCCACAGGGAGCCTGCTTCTCCCTCTGCCTATGTCTCTGCTTCTCTCTCTGTGTCTCTAACGAATAAATAAATGACATCTTTAAAAAATAAAAAAGAAAGAAAAGCAGAGATACCCTCCTCGGAGACATTAAGTGGCCCAGCTTCCCTGGACAATAATGCTGTTTGGTCTCCCTAATCTCAATAATCAGTAATGGCTACGCTACAGGGTTGGCCTTTTCCTTTCAAAAAACCCCAATGGGCAGCCCTGGTGGTGCAGCGGTTTGGCGCTGCCTGCAGCCCAGGGCCTGATCCTGGAGACCCTGGATGGAGTCCCACGTCGGGCTCCCTGCATGGTGCCTGCCTCTCCCTCTGCCTGTGTCTCTGCCTCTCTGTCTCTCTCTCTCTCTCTCTGTGTGTGTCTCTATGAATAAATAAATAAAAACAAAAAAACGAAAAACACCCAATGACTTGGTTAAGAATTTGTGTTCTCAGAACAATGTAAAGTACACACAGTCGTCAGATTTGCACACTTGATTGCCTACCTAAAGGTGCAGTCTGATGTGAGCCACACACCATACAGTAGTTTCTGCTCATTTTTCCTTCCTCACATAATGAATCAATAAAGTCTTCATCATAAAGGAATGCATCAACGTGAACTGTGGGTTCTGGCTGCTGCTCTATCTGGTGGAGAGAAGAAGAACTTCAAAAGAAACCAAGTACAAAGGAGTCTCTTTTTATTGCTAAATAAGGCAAAACATCAGTGGTTCAGATGCTAAAATTCCGAAAGCAACAACAAGGCACAGAAAGACAAGTTTCACTTATTAAAGAGCAATCCTGCTCTTCCTTCTTCTTTTTTTTTTTTTTTCCTGAGACACCAGCAACTTTTAATTTGGTCTGTAATGATACAAAGCCTGGCTAGGGGAAATATATAAAATTTGAATTCAAGGAGTATTTATTTTGTGGCCATCTCATCTATCCTAGGTAGTAGTATATTTTACAAATAAAGAAAACCCATTCAGAGATTTCTCCAAAGAAATGACCAAAAGAGGGGAAAGAATTGAAACTAATACCAGGTCTCCTGAGTCCCACACATCAGTGACTTAGCAAGTGATCTTTTCCCAGAGGCAAAGTTTTCAAATAATAAAAACATTAGTACAGTTTCATGCTTACAACTAATAGCCCTTTATTAATACTGGTAATACATGATATAATAGCAAGTGGCAACAAAGAGAAAAATGTCTGATTCCTTTTACCTTAACTATAATAAAGAATCAACTTATCCACTTAGAGATCTACAAAATTCTATCTACATCTACACACACACATCTATATTGTAAATGTGTAAAACACATGGACATACACAAGAACCAGAAGGAAACAACAGAAGATACAAATAGTTTGTTAGGAGAAGGGATTATGGGTCGACCATTACATTCAAGGAATACTTTTTTGTTGTTTCATATATTTTGGTATATCATGCTACTGATAGGACTGCCTTATGAATAATATCCAAACTATACTACAAACATTTTTGTTGGTTTTTATATTAGCCACTATTTTCCACCTTTGGGAGTACTGTGACTGGATGTTTACTAAGATTTGCTAGTGCTCACAATGTGCACAGCACTGTTACAAATGTACAGGATTTGGTTCCTCTGCTTAGGAATCTACGTAGTAAAAAACCACATGGAGGGGTGCTGTTTTCAGATTAGTGGGAGAAGACATTATTATTATTTTTGCTTTAGGAAACAATATTCTCAGTATATGTACCTGATAAAAGTTGAGGTTTAAAGGGACTTGGATGAGGGGGCGGTCTGTAGAAGAAAAATGAGAACTTATTTTAGGAATGAAGGAACAGGATAAGCAAAAACCATATGGCACAAAAGCAGGAGAAGGAAACAAAGAGATGAACTTCACCTCTGGCAAAAGTAGGCGATGTGGAACAGGAAAGAGAAAACCAGGACAATGATGGAGGCAGGGCCAGATTACCGTTGGGCCTTGTTTTTGTGTGTATGTGTGTTTGGGAGGGAGGGGGACATGGAGGGAAGGGGGTTGAGCGCCTGGCAAACAGGATGTCCTCAAAAAAAAAAAAAATCTGTTGAATGAATGGGGAGCCAGAGGATTATGGACTCAAAAGAATTGGGGACATCGTTGAAGCACCAAATGAAAAATTGTTTTTAAAGCCAAATTCAGGACTAATTAAACTGGAGAGGCTGCAGGATTAGGGAAGACTAGGAGAACCCTTAAGGAGCAGTAACGGTACATTAATTTAATGTATTTACTTTTCGGAGGGATAGATGTTCTGAGGACAGCATTGTGTCAAGAGGTAAGCAATTCCGAAGGTCCTCTGCTATGTTTTTCAACATAATGTCATTATTGTCTTGAGTGAATTCATCAAAATCTCCTGGAAAAAAAAAAGAAATCTCTTTTTTGGTTTTGGTCACACCTAGACTAAGTGAACACAACGGACATATTTTCCATTAGCATCAAATTTGTAGCAATAAATAAACCTTCTAACCAATGAAATATTCGAAGTCTAATGAATGTTCCATTTCAAATATCGAGTTTTTCCTTTTTCTAAACCATTTGAAAATACAAAACATGGGGCACCTGGGTGGCTCAGTAGTTAAGCGTTTGCCTTTGGCTCAGGTCGTGATTCTGGGGTCCTGGGATCGAGGCGTGCATTGGGCTTCCTGTGAGGACCCTGTTTCTCTCTCTGCCTCTCTCTCTGTGACTCTCATGAATAAATAAAATATTTTTTTAAAAAAATACAAAACTTAAAAAAAATAAAAAATTTAAAAAAATACAAAACTTGACTACTTCTGCCTGTTTGAGAAAAACAAAAGCAATTAAAAAATATATAGTATTTTAACTGTTTTTACTCAAGAACAGCACTGCCATTAGTTTGTAGAGTCTTAAACTCACCAGTAAGTAGTCAAATATTACTACTCTGACTATACAGATCTGAGAAGTATAGGACATATCACAGAGATTATTAAAATGATAATTTAGATCTGAGTACCCCTGCCTTCAATAAAATATACCTAAGACTTCAGATAATAAGCACTAACAACAGGTGGCACCAACCATATAATAAACTTCACAATAATCATGTTGCCCTGCTGCATTTGAGCAGCAGATAAATGATCATTAAAATAGCATGTTTCTGGGGGTGCCTGGCTGGCTCAGTTAGGGGAACCTGTGACTCTTAATCTCGGGGTTGTGAGTTTAAGCCCCACATAGGGTGTAAAGATTACTTTAAAGAAAAAAAGTGTATTTCTGATGCTTATGGTGTACTTTTGGATGATGTGACAAAAAGGGGAGGAGAATGGGAGGGAGAGAGAGTGTGTAGCAATAAAGATGGAGAAGATCTGGTTAAGAGATTGACAGCTGTTGCATCTAGGTGAGAGTATAAAAGTGGCGTTCATTGTTCTGTTTTTTCTACTTTTCTGTGTGTTTAATTTTTTTGGTTCTAAAACAGTATTATTTCTAAGTGGGCTCATATGTAATTTTAAATAGAATGTGACTTATCTGGAAGTAACATACTCCTAAAGTTAGCTACTGTCTGGGATGCCAAATGTAGACTAGAAAGCTCTATTAATGAAAATATTTTACCTTTCTCTTAAAAGACTTTCTTATATTGAATTTTTGCTAGAATAAAAGCACCCCAAGGGAATTATTACTCTAAAACAGAGTAAAAAACAGTTCTAAAACAGAAGGAAAACAAGGAGATCCTGAAGGGAAATGTCATCTGTGTCCATATCCCCTGCTCTCAAATCTTTGGTTGTTTTTAAGTAGGTTCATGATTTTGTTCTTAAAAAATAATTCTTGTGTTGGTGCAGAATGCTATTTTCATGTCATTACTAACGAAAGTTACAAAGCAGGCCAATAGCAGCACAAGGAAATAAAATGGAGGTTTTCTATTTCTAAATACAAGTGCTCATCTTTTTAGCTATACTACTCTGTGCCCTGTATATGAAGGATCTTTTTCTGCATTAACTTCTCACTGAGCATAGTTAATACAAAGATTTGGTTCTCTGAACTGATGAGGAAAGGCATTTGAGCCGTTTTATCCTTCTTGCCTATCTAGTATAATGTTCTAAGCTGTTGCTTCAAATTATTTCTAGAAGGAAGCAGAATATAAGTTAGAGTAACAAAAATTCTATTAAAATTCATTCCAAATTGTTTTCAGTGGAACTTAAATAGCATCTGTGATACGTTTTTAAAAAAAAAATGGCCTTTTTAAATGTATTTGTAAAATCTAATTAAATCTTCCTAAGGTGCTAATTAAACATTTATTTAAGTAATCTCAACAGTCAACATGGGGCTCAAACTCATGACCCTGAGATCAAGAGATGCATGCTCCTCGGACTGAGCCAGCCAGGCGCCCCTCAAGGTGCTAATTAATACCTAACAACCGCTTAGCTTCCTTCCCTCCATAGACAGATAGAACACTGTCTGGGAGCCTGTGTGACTCACATTTAAGTCTAATAATATCACTCCCACTAGTGATCCTTAGCAGGTTCTCTCCATTTGTAAATGGTGAAACTAGAGGAGCCACTAAAAATCTCATTATGTGAAACTAAGATATTCCCTATCCCAACTTCTTTGGACTTAATTCTGTAATATAAAGTCATGTTAATGAAACAGTTTTCATGTGGTTCTGCCTTATAAAATGAGTCTTAACAGTGAAAAGGGAACTAGACTATGAACGATTACCAATGGGCCCATCCTTTTACACATCTCTGATATACCTAGGATAGTTGTTTAGTTTTTGCTTGAACACTTTCAGGGCCAGCATTTCTTCCATGTGGTGGAGCCAGGATCTGCCACTCTGTAACATTAACTCATTTTTCCAGTTTCAGCCTGGGAGGAATCATCATCTTCAATGCTAAACAACATTTACTGAATGAACACTTCTGACATGCTAGACTTGGTGTGGTGCTTTTCACATGACATTTAATCCTAAGCAACCTACAAGTGGTACTATAATCACTTCTATTTTATAACAACAGCCCCAAAAAATCTAAGGTCAGAGGTTTAAGTTACTTGCGTCCGGTCATATTGGCCAGAAAGTGGTGGAGCTGGGGATTGAATGCAGGTCTTAGTCTGAACTTTTTTTTAAGTAAATATGTGAAAAAAAAAAAAAAAGTAAATATGTGGAGCTTGAACTCAACCCCAACACTGAGAGTCATATGCTCCTCTGACTGAGCCAGCCAGATGCCCCCTTAGTCTGAACTCTTAATTACTACACCAGACAGTTCTCTAAAGTGGCAAAGAAGGTAGCTGGCTAGTAACAGTTCTCTTACCGCTATCATAGTTTTCTCTTCTCCCCACCTCTGACCACAGTTCTCCATATGACGTGCAGTCATATCCTTTGCCATTGGCTTCCAGACTTGTTTAACAGAACCCTTTAAATGTGGCCCTGCAACCAACACTAGGCAATCTAGTTCTCTAATCCATGACTACCTTAGTTTATTCTCTTCTATCACTTTGTAGCCTCTAGGGCCCTGATCACTACCACCACAGGGTGATTAGTAGATTTGGAAGGGGGGATGGAGGCAGTGGAGGCCAAAGAGTGTCTCGAAAAGTCATATGTAAAGATTAAGGAAGCTGGAACACTGATAGATAGGAATGGCTGCTAATTTTGAACCATCATAATAGATTTCCAGCTGTCTGAAATAGGTTTGAGAGTCAACATCCTAATTAACATGAGCATCACCAGTCAAGATGAGAGATACTAAGAAACTGTATATTAAATTCAGTCATTGAAAAAAGGTAGTATTACAAGAAGACTGCATTGTTTTATCTCAATATGAAGGATACCGGGTGAAAGCATGAATTGGCACCCCTTACCCTGGACAATAACTCTGATTCAAACACACTCAAGGGTAAAAAGAGATTTTTTTCAGTTACAGCAATGATTCTTCACCATGGTTCTAGTCAAAGAGGATCTGCATATGGGATTTATGTGATTCATAAAGGGCCTAAAGTTGGATGCTTGGTTGTATACATAAATACGTATACTTTTCTAGGAAGAAAGTTCTTAAGAAATCTTCAATAATTATAGGTAATACTACTGAGCACTCTATGTAAGGCACTGTAGGAATTTTTAGTGCAAGAAGGTTAAGATTAACGTTAGTATCTGTAGTGGCTGGCAAATAACTTCTGAAAAGAACAGCAAAACATTTCTGCCCTAATAATGGCTGTACAGGTAAAAAAAAGCATGATACGATAGGATATTACTGACATGTGTAAAACACATTGTATATTTACTCTGTTATTAAAGTTCAATTCCTTAAAACATCATTTCGAAAGGCTGTGCAATATTCTAGTATTGTCTATTTACTTAACCATCGGCTCCTTCTAATACACATTTAGATATAGTTAGAATTGTGAAAAATTAAGTACACTGCAACTGACATTTTGGCATCCATCATCTCTTTGCATTTCTGATTATTTCCTTATTATAAATGCCTAGAAGTAGAAGTACTTACTATTTTAAAGGCTCTTGCTACATATTGTCAAATTTCTTTCCTGAAAGATTATACCAATTTATCTTAACAGAAAAGAATATGTGTCTCATTAAACCCTTGCAGCATTAAATATTACCATAAAAACAAACTTTGTTGTTTTAATTTGCATTTCTTTAATTACTGGTGAGGCTAACATCTTTTAACATGTGTAATAGCTATTTCAGAATGTGTGGTAACAGTATTATGCTTGGAAAAAGATTAAAGAAAGGTGTTAATCAGTTGCCTGACAGTAAAGTTTTTCTCAAATTACACATGTAGGTGGGAAGGGAGTGGAGGAAGAAAAGCTCCTCTAGAGGCCAAAGTTAATTCTTTCAGAATTTCCTAGTTATTTTTAAGGAAATATATGAGGAAACAGAAACCACCAAAATTGATGGTGTATGAATCAAATCTTACTTTTTTTTATCTAGTCAGTATCAAGTCCTACTCCCTTTTGCTCGCAAATTCTACTTTCTCTTTATTTCCACTTCAACCACCTCATAACCACAGTCATCACCTCACACTCTGACACCTTACACCATGACAAACTCATAATTAGCTCCTTGATATTGGTCTCCCCCCACTATAAAATATCTTGTACTTCTATTTTAAACTAATTTCCAAAAAAAAAAAAAAACTAATTTCACTTTAACCTCACTTTTTTTTTTTAAGATTTTATTTTCAAGTAATCTTTACACCCAACATGGGACTTGAACTTACAACCCCGAGATCAAGAATCACACGCTTCACTGATTGAGCCAGCCAGGTGCCCCAAACCTATCACTCGTTTCCCTTAACAGGTTTTTGATATTTTTCTACATTTTAACCTAGCAAGTCTCACTTTAGATATTTAAGGTCTTCTATATCAGCAGAGTCTACCCATCCTATTTTC